GTCAGTATCTTTCCTTCCTGAGGATGCCAAGTGTCTGTGGCACTGCACAGAGATGGGAAAGCTGTGGTAAGAACATGAGTGTGCAGTGCTGAGCACTAACTGTATCCTTTGCTTTTGGATGAACAGACTTTTGCCATAGCTTTTGATTACATACTGCTCCTGTTCCATTTGAATTTCACAGTTCTTCACTGCTTGTTGCTTTGCCTCTCCTTTTTGGTTCTTCCTGTTTATGGAAGCACCCAGAGACATGTATAGTATTCATGAAAAAATGAAGACTGGCAATTCTCAGTTTTGCCATGCAAATCCTAGGAAGTAGTTCCTGACAACGTGATCCTTTTCTTCTGGTGTTGTGCAATAAATTAATACTCCATTTATGGCTAATTCACCAGAGCAATCAGTCCCTTAATAAAATACAATTTTGAAAGCATCTTGTAAGAAATAAAACGTCCAGTTATGACTGTGATGCTGTGAAGTTCCTGTGTGCTCCACAGCTCTGGAGCAGTAGCAGCACTTTGAAATGCTCAGTGTGCTTTGTATGGCCATTGTTCCAAGGAAGATAAGTTAGAGCTTCCATATGTTATTTCTGTAGTATTTCTTCATGGCTTGCTGAGATGTCCATGGTACTTCAGAGAGTTGTGATCAGTTTGAACTGTCCTTTCCTTGCACTAGATTTCCTGAGGGAGGACACGAGGGTCGGGACCAGCTTTCTGCGGGTGGCTGCCCGTGATGATGACTTCGGCTCCAATGCTGCTGTTACTTACTCAATAGCAAACGAAGAACCAAATTACTTACAAATTAATCCTACTACAGGTTGGGTGTTTGTGAACCAACCCATATCTCAGGTATGGTGCTTGCTTTCCTTTCTCAGCTGACTGTCTCCTAGGAGGGACTGACACAATGAGTCTGTTACCCCTCCAGTTACAGGATCAATACCTCGTGTTTGGATTAAACATGAGTGTAAGGCTTTTAGCTGACGAAATCATCGGCTGTGAATCGCAGATGAGCAGGCTCTGCTTCCAGCTGGGAAGGAGCAGCTGACAGCACTGCCTCTGAGAACTTGCTCTTCCCATTTCAGGAGCTCTGCATGCTAATTCCAAGGGCTGGAGGACAGATCAGAAGGGGAGCAAAACCCCAAGTGTCCAACTTCACTGTGTTAATGAGTTCAGACTCAAAACTGAATGTGAACAAGTGTGAAATTTTGCTCCTGATACAGATTCCCAACTTGATATATGTTAGGTGTGGTGGACTAAACACTGGTGTCCCTCAGGAAGGTGAAGGTATAATCAACACAGTTTTTACATGTAGCTATCTGAAACTTATCACTTCAGACATTTCTAAATCCTTACACAAGCAGTTTGATATTTTCAAAGTGATTTGTGCTGAAATGAAAATATTGTTGTAGATATCAGCCTTGAAATACCTAACAGATTTTTTTGATACTGAAATGTAACTCCTAAGTAACACACAGAAGTTTGGTGAAGGTGTGTCCTTTTGATGTGTTTTCTTTAGTGAATCTAAGAACCCTAAAGATCTGAAAACAAAAGCTGAAGAACTCAGGGATTTCCACAAAGTGGGTTTTTTGGTTCTGTTTTGCTTCAAACATTGTATGAAATTTGCGAAGGTTGACTGAGGCAAATAGTGAAGTTTTCCAACAATTTTCAGTAAAGCAAATCACAACAGATATTTTTCTCCTGTGTAGGTTTTTCTCTAAGTGTGCCTTTAATTTAATGTATTTATTTTGGAGCTCTGATCAAAACCTTCTGTAACAAAACCTTTTTTGCTGTTCAGACATCATCTATAATTCGAGAGATCACTGCTACAGATGGAGGCAATAGGAGCAGCAAAGTGGAACTTGCAGTAACTGTTACCAGTGCAAAAAACCAACCTCCACAGTGGGAGAGAGACAGCTATGAAGTTGTTATTCCAGAGAATACTACACGAGATGCCTCTGTTTTGGTACGGTTGGGACACACCTGTTTGTCTGTCTATAGCTCTTGAGGCTCTGGAGTAACTGAACGTTGTTTATTTGTTTGAACTTTTGTGGCAGTTTTGTGTTTTGTAGCCGAATGTCTGGGAGAGTCAATACACAACAGCTTTTAGAAACCTTGCTGTACTTACAGAAGTGTTGATCACACACACTTTTTGAACTGTGCAGACAATCAAAGCAACTTCACCCTTGGGTGATCCCCGTGTGACTTACAACCTAGAGGAGGGACTTGTTCCAGAGACCAACATGCCAGTTCGTTTCTACCTGACTCCAAACAGACATGATGGCTCTGCTTCAATCCTGGTGGCTGAGCCACTCGATTATGAAACAACCAAGAGCTTTCTGCTGAGGGTTCGAGCGCAGAACGTTGCTGCAGTTCCTCTGGCAGCATTCACCACAGTCCATGTGAACCTAACAGGTGTGTAGGCTCTTTAGTGATGTTATTGTATAATCATGTACTTGTTTTTTCCATTAAAGCTTTATAGTTGTCTCCATATGCTCTTTTTGACGTTTTAGATGTCAATGACAACGTCCCATTCTTCACCTCATCCATTTATGAAGCCTGGGTGACAGAGGGAGCTGATGTTGGGACATTTGTCCTTCAGGTTTCTGCCACTGACCTTGACCTCGGTCAGAACGGTGAGGTAGGCAAGTGGGAACCTACATCTCCCGTGGTAAAGGGTGTGGAATAACTTCTGGATGAGCAATGGCTAAATAGTCTAGAATGGATATTTCCCTCGCTGACTGAAAGAATCAGAAGTTGGTAGGTATGTCCCTGGCACAAGAGTGCAAGCTGAAGTCAAGTCACAGAAACATATGTATAACAGAGACTGGAACATGGTCCATGATACTGAGCAGCTTCAGTTCAGCTCACCTGTGGCCGTTCTCTCAGTACTTGGGATCCTCACCCGAGTGGGAGTGCTGTTGCATAAGCACTGTGCAAGTGTGTCCTAGTCAGCCTGGGACCTGATTAGACGAGACAAATGTATTTCCTTTACAGATCATCAGTCAACATGCAAGGAAGTTAATTGACTTTAGATTGCTCAGGCTGCAGTTTGACCCAGCCTTCTTGGCCCTGATCAAGTTCTCAGACATGAGACTATTCTTCCTCTCTTTAAGTACTTAGCTGTGAACTATCCAACAAAAGGGAAGTATAGATTAACAACTTCTCTTTAATCCTGTAGATAACTTACTCCCTGTTACATGACAGTGGCAGGGACTACACACATTTCCGCCTGGACTCGCAGACAGGCTCCATATACACAGCCTCAGTGTTTGACAGAGAGAAGAAGGGCTCCTACCTTCTGGAAGTCAAGTCAGTAGATGGGTCTGAATCAGCTCGACCTGGAAAACATGGGAAGCCAAACTCTGGTAAGAGACAGATGTCTGTGACAAGTGTGATATTGCCTGGGCTGGTCTCTGAAAACAGAAGCTCTGAAATGCAAGATTAAGTGTTAATTTCCTTATATGCTGATCAGGTAAGGTTTTTGTTTTGAAATGAAAAGAAAACTAGGCTTCATATTTAGAGCTTAGAGAATATTTCCTGGCTAGCAAAGATCCTATTGTCTGTAGGATGCAGATCTTTGGGCAGTGGAAGTGTTTCTCAAAGCCCTGAAATGGTACTGTATTCAGCCAAAAGTCATTATGAAGTAGGAGTGTTCAAGATAGAAAATGCCTTTCTCAATTGATGGCTCTCCTTAAAGACATAAAATTTGGCTTTTGTGGCTTTGGGACAAAAACTTATGACTGAAAACTGTACAATTGCCATATTAGGCATCAATTATTCATGTGTTATCTGTTTAAACAAATTGGATGTGACATTCATTTGATATCCCAGTGCTCTTGAGTAATGTTGGTGTATATATGGTCCACAGCCCTAAGGGTCTCTTTCTATATTGTCTGCATATTTGTCTTCATTCAGTGTGCAGCTAGGCAGTTTCAGGAATCGTAGCTGACAGAAGTGGCACAGCTGAGTGTTTGAACCTCCTGTTCTCATCTCTCTAGACACAGCCTATGTGCGCGTTTCCGTCAGCGACGTCAACGACAACAAACCTGTCTTTGTCCAAAGTGTCTACGAGGTGAACGTGGATGAGGACCAGGATGTTGGCTCCACTGTCATTACAGTCAGTGCTAACGATGAGGATGAAGGTAAAGCTTCATAACTGGGTCTGAAATATTAATGAGGCGATTTCAGCACACCAAGACGTATTTGGTGAGGCTAGAAAGGAAAATTATTTTTGTCTCTAGATTTTAAAACTTTGTGTGAACTGATCAGGCGTGAACATTAGTTCATAACAGAGCTGTGAGGCATAATCTCTCATTTCAGGAGACATGCACCAGTGTGGGATGATAGGGAAGAATTTCTGTGCCAGCAAATACAAATTTATTATAGATCATACAATTTTCTTACAAATGGGTGCCAATAAAAATGTCCCAGTTAACGAGAATGAATCAGACTTGGCTTCAGTGAGATTCATTTGCTTTCCCTATGGACAGTGTAGTTGTTCTTCTTTTCTCTTGTTTGAATCTAGACATGCTAAATGCATCTGATGAGTCTATACTGTTTTATCCACAAATCAGTCAGAAATTCAGCTACAGGTCACGTGAAAATCAGTGCATAACCAGTGCCCAGCGATGGGAGAGGCTCAGTGCAGACTTCCATCGTTTGGCCACGCTGCACCACTAATTTGACTCCCAGCTGACTAAATTGAGACTGGTTTGTGTGGTGAACCCTGCTTTGGCCACACTGCACCACTAATTTGACTCCCAACTGACTAAACTGAGACTGGTTTGTGTGGTGAACCCTGCTTTTTTCATTGCCCAAGTCCCAAAGGAGTGTTCTGTCGGTGTGTCTGTGAGGTACATCCTGACTTGTACTTCATCTCAACATCCCATGCTTGAGGCTGCTCCCAGAAACGTGTGTTTTCTGACACTGTTGGTACTTGACTGCACCACTAATTTGACTCCCAACTGACTAAACTGAGACTGGTTTGTGTGGTGAACCCTGCTTTTTTCATTGCCCAAGTCCCAAAGGAGTGTTCTGTCGGTGTGTCTGTGAGGTACATCCTGACTTGTACTTCATCTCAACATCCCATGCTTGAGGCTGCTCCCAGAAACGTGTGTTTTCTGACACTGTTGGTACTTGACAGGAACAAACGCCAAGTTACGGTATCAGATGACAGGGGGGAACACAGGAGGAGCTCTCGATGTAGATCCAGAAACAGGAGCCATTTTTATTGCCCAACCACTGGACTACGAAGAAACAAAAACGTATGAGATTCACTTGTTGGCCTCGGATGGGAAATGGGAAGATTATGCAGTTATCATCATCAATGTCGTGAACAAAAATGATGAGGCTCCAGTTTTCTCCATCAACGAATACTACGGGAGTATAATTGAGGAGCTGGATGCGTTGCCAGTGTTCGTCCTTCAGGTAGTGTATGCAGTGTCAGAGGTTATAATACCTCGGTGAAAGAGCTCAGATTACTGTGGTACAATTATGTTAACCATAATCCAGCACAGACAGATAATGAAGTTTAGTTTCACTGAGTTTTTCCTGTCACCGGAAGAAGAGAAATGGACTTTGATTAAAAAGCATAGTAAGTAAGGATGGATCATTTGTGGTCCTAAAATGCAAATAATTGACATTTTAAAGCAACTATGAGAATAGCATATTTAAATTACCTGTATGAATATGAAAACTGTAATACTATTTTAGTACTAGAATACCTACATTGTTATTGTAGTGCAGAGCACATTTGCCTACTCTGAATTGTCCCTCAGCCACCTCTCATTTGCTCCTCCCTGGCATGAACATACGATTTGTCTCACACTTTTGCTTGGACTCCTTTAGGCTGTAGCCGCATATAGAATGTGGTGCACTCGTTGCACGTTTCCTACTTCCTGTGTTTTTCTTTTCAAACCTTTGTAGGTCATGGCTAATGATCCTGACAGTGACGTGGACGAAGGAGATTTGAGGTACTCGTTGCACGGGTATGGTGCAGCTGATATTTTCACCATAGATGAGCGAACAGGCAGCATTTTCTCCCACAAGACGCTGGACCGGGAAGAGAGAGCTCTGTGGAGGTTTATTGTGCTGGCTACTGATGAAGGTGGGGGAGGTCTGACAGGGTTTGCCGACGTGATCATTAACGTGTGGGACGTAAACGACAACGCGCCCATGTTCCCTTGCATGCCTGATGACTGCAATGGGAACGTCTTCGAGAACTCTCCTGAGGACACCTTAGTCATGGAGATGGCTGCAGTCGATCGGGATGATCCAAACGTGGGTCTTAATGCTGTCCTGACCTACAGGATAACGGAGAACGTGAAAAATGAGTTTGGGACCGACATGTTTAGTATCGATCCCAACACTGGAACGATCCGTGTCGCAGGGGGAACGCTAGACAGAGAAAGGACTGAGAATTATTTTCTCACTGTAGAAGCAAGAGATGGGGGAGGGCTGACGGGGACGGGCACTGCCACGATCTGGGTGGCAGACGTCAACGACAACGTGCCTCGGTTCACACAGAGGGTGTGGCAGGCAGCGGTCCCGGAGAGCAGTGCCATCGACTCGGAGGTGGTGCAGGTGTGCGCCACGGACGCCGATATCGGCGAGAACGCGGAGCTGATGTTCAGCATCGTCGGCGGAGACCCAGAGCAGAAGTTTTACGTTGAGAATGACAAGGAATGGCAGTGTGGCACCATTCGCCTGAAAAAGAAACTGGATTTCGAGAACGTGCGTGAAAGACAGTTTAACCTGACTCTCACAGTGGAGGATCTGGATTTTTCCAGCATTGCAGTGTGCCTGATTGAAGTGGAAGACTCTAACGACCACAGCCCAGCTTTCCCTTCACCCTTCGTTCAGACAAACCCTTTATTTGAAAACACACCTGTGGGTACTACAGTCACCACAGTGAGAGCTACAGACAAGGACTCTGATTTGAACGGGAAGGTTCTATATTCTATCAAGCCAGATTCGGATCCTATGAAGCAGTTTGTGGTTGACCAATATGGCCACGTGGTTGTGGCCAACACGCTCGATCGTGAAGTCATTCCCAAGTACAGTCTGGTTGTCCAAGCTGCAGATCAGGGGACACCTGCCCGCACAGGAAGTGTCACAGTTCTGATTAACCTGCTTGATATTAATGACAACGGACCGAGGTTTGAGGCCCCTTACATGCCTGTAGTCTGGGAAAACATCCTGAAGCCTGAGATAGTGTATATGAACCATACATCAAAGCTGCTCCACGCCTTCGATCCGGACAGTGAAGAGAACGGGCCACCCTTCACCTTCTCCCTGCCACCAGATTATCAGGATTCTTTGGATTTTTCTCTCACTGACAACAGAAATAACACAGCGACTGTGACTGCTTTGAGGTCCTTTGACAGAGAGAGGCAGAAGGTGTTTCATCTGCCAGTAGTGATAACAGATAGTGGGATTCCTGCTATGAGCTCTACAAACACCCTGACCATAACTGTTGGTGATGAGAACGACAACTGCCACCAGTCTGGCCACAAGGAGGTCTTTGTGTACAGTTACAGAGGTAAGTGCTGTCTGGGTTTTGTGTCAGGTTCTGGGCACTAAATCAGATGCATGAATATAGCAGTTGTACACATAATTTCTCTCTTGAACTCTATTAATCTATTTCTTGAATGGCTTGGGGATCAGATGCATGAATATAGCAGTTGTGCACATAATTTCTCTCTTGCACTCTATTAATCTATTTCTTGAATGGCTTTCATGTTTTGAATCTGCAACTCCCAATTCTGTAAACTGCTGAACGAAGTGGAATGAGCAAAATATATTTGCAAAGCTCAGACCCTGATGTGTAACAGATTATCTACCAAAAACCTGTGAGCTGTGATCAGATGCATGAATATAGCAGTTGTGCACATAATTTCTCTCTTGCACTCTATTAATCTATTTCTTGAATGGCTTTCATGTTTTGAATCTGCAACTCCCAATTCTGTAAACTGCTGAACGAAGTGGAATGAGCAAAATATATTTGCAAAGCTCAGACCCTGATGTGTAACAGATTATCTACCAAAAACCTGTGAGCTGTGAACAAGTGTATATTGCACTCACAGAAAAAGCAGTATTTTTATAAAGCAATTTCCCATTCATGACTTTTCACCTCCACAGAGAAAGAGTTTTCTGTGTGTGTGCACATGGTTCAGAAAGTGTCTGACACTGAGAGATCTGGAGATGAGAATGGCAGAGCTGAAGCAACTTGGAAAAGCAGAGGTTCACAGATGAGCCCTGAACAGTCTGTTCTTGGTAGACTTGGCTAGATCTCAGTTGTCATTGCAGTAGTAGAATTGCTGATGAATATTAGAGGAGATTAATCTGCAGAAGGTACTTTGCAATGAGTTGTACTTGCTGAATTCAGTAAACCTGAATTAGAAAAAGATGAGACCTGATCATACTGCAGAAACGACAGAATGAAGTTTCTAGGGTGAATTGGATCCAGCTCTGAACCTTAAAAATTTCCCATGTTGCTGAGGATTGCTGTGGAAGTCTTCTCTGGAGTTGCTCCTCTTGCTGTTTTAGAAGAGCTGCTTGGATGTTCCACTTCTCTGACAGTCCCCAGGGATGTGGAAAAAGGACCAAGTCCTGGCCCAGCTTGGTGACTTCTTGCCCATTTCCTTCTTCCAGTCATGCCCTTCCCTCCAGCTGCACCCCATGAGGTGCTCTCCCTCTCTGCTGGATTCCACTTGTGTGCTGCTTAAAATAGGAGTAGCAATGAATAAATTGGAATTAACTCCTGATGTGGTGATTTTTTTAATTTCTTTTCGTCTGAGAATTTGATAGAGAGTTGTATTTAGGCATTTTTCTGTTGCTGTTTCATGCTGTTTTCAGCTTTTCTTCTTTCATGTGACATCTCTAGTGTGCTCACATTTCCAGAACTGGCAGAAGTCATATGACAGGCTCTGCATTGTTTTAAGAGCCTTGGATCATAACCATCACCAAACTGAGCAGGAATCTGAAAATAATATATGCTGTAGTGAATGCAGCAGAATATAAAGTGCAGTGAAAAGCAAAAATTAAATGCAGATTTATTATAATTTATCTCAACAGGAAAATGGTCAACGACAGTGCTTGGGGAGGTGTTTGCACCCGATCAGGATGACTGGGACAATAAAACATTTCTCTCTGAAGGAAAACTGCTCAAGTGAGGATTGTATTTCTGTCAAAATGAGTAATATTTCTGTTCTGTAATTACTCCCTGTGTATTTCTCTGTGCTCAGGATGAAGCCAGGATTATTGAGTGTGTTAAGGATGTACCTCCTGAACACTCTTTTTTTCACTTGGGTGCCTAGGAATTAAGAAATTAATGCATGAAATGTGTTTTCCAGGAGAATGCAGGATCACACCATGATGTTGATTTTTAGTCAGATGTCACCACTTATTTATTTAAAAATGTGCATTCTGTAAGATCCAGGTTAAAAATAGGCAGTGTCTGATGCTTCCTCTCAGATGTTAGAGCTGATGGAGCAACTTCCAATTGCCTGTGAAAACCATGGCTCAGATCAGTGGAGTTTTTCTGTTAATTAAAGTGTTTAGTTGGATCCTTAATTCCTCCTCAGACATTATTTGTTCCCAATAAGAGTGAGATGGCTCATAGCAGGACTGTGTGCTATGTGAAATGAAAAAATGGATGGGAACACGAATGTGAATTTTTGCTGTGCTGTGACTTAGAGTTTATAGGTTTTAGGTAGCCCAAAATTCAAGACTGTCTATTAGCAGCCCCTGGGCCTGTTTGCATGTTAAGAGATTATTGTTCCATAAGTGTGCTCATGGAATGTTTCCATAATTGCTGATTACTGGTGTCAAATAAAATGAGCCCTGAGATTCAGGGGCACATCACTTTTATTCATTCAGGGTTGGGAAAGTCTGAGTAGCAGAAACATCTCTTTTATAAACTTTGCAGATCATTATTTTGGAATTAAGGTGTTTCTGGTGCTTTGAAGTTCCTGGCTAATTCCCTTAAGTTTTGATCCTATAACCCTCATAGTAACCTTTAAGGCCTTTTGAATCATGTTAGTGAATAAAGTGAGGGCTCAGTTTTGATTTATTAAGGTTTCCTAATTGAAGGTTTATGTCTAGGTCTTTCAGATTGAATCAGAGGACTGGGTCTCTGCTGATGGTGGATAACACTCCTCAGGGAACATACAACTTAAAAGTCAGAGTTTCTGATGGAGTTTGTCCTGATGTTATATCTACAGTACAAATCCATGTCAAAGAGCTGGAAAATGAAGCCATACAAAACTCTGCCACTGTGCGTCTGTCAGGTTAGTTTCATTTGCTGCTGAGAGTTTTCTCTGACAATGTCACCTAGGCACTGTTATAGCAACACTTGATTGTTGGGCACTTTCTGGTATGTTTCCATCTTGTTAAATAAACTGAGAAATTAACCCGTGTTCTCCCAGTATTTCATGTTTTCTGTTTTTGAATCCCAAACTCAGATGTCACTGCAGAGGAGTTCATAAGGAGAGATGAACATGGCAAAACGAGACATGGCAAGTTCAAGGAGTTACTAGCAAAGATGTTACCTGCAAGGCTCAGTGACATCATTGTCTTCAGTGTGATGAACACAGATGGCAAACAGACAGATGTGAGATTTGCAGTCCGTGATGGCTCAGCGTACTACAGACCTGAGAAGCTTCATGCTGAGCTGGCAGCATTTAAAGCTGAGGTATGTTCTCTGGGGTTATCATGCATCCCTGGGATTCACCCCCACACTGAGTTTGTGGGGTGTGTATGCCAAGCCTCAGTGGAAGAACATCCTAGATCTACAGATGAGGGTTTTTGCTTCACTCAGGACAAAACCATTAGTCAAGCATACTGCTGCTGTAATTTTCCAATCAAATGTTTCCTGCATTTTGCTTGCCTGCAGAGCCAGGGATGTTAGTAATGAATTAACTCAAGCATTCCGTTATTCCCTGATGGCTTGGGTCGTTCAGGAATTCAGGAGTCACCAGAAGCATTCATTGGGATGGGAGTGCTGATGTGTTAGGCTGTGTTTTCTCTTAGATCCAGGCAGCTTTGCAGCTGAACATCTCCCAGATCGACGTGGACGAGTGCAGGAGTGCAAACTGCAGCGAGGGCAGTGGCTGTACCAACCACCTCACGGTGAGCGACATTCCCACGGTGATGGACACGGGGAGTGTGTCCTTTGTCTCACTCACAACCACCATCCATGCACTCTGCACCTGCTCAGCTCGGGACAGAGTCCATCGCTCCTGCTCCTCCTACCCTGGGAACCCTTGTCTCAACGGGGGGATCTGTGTGGACACTCTCAATGGTTACAGGTGAGGGAACTTGTATTGCAGAACATCTCTTTGTTTTTCCTTCTGTTTTCCAAGTGTCAAGTGGAGCTGACAAGATACAGGGCTAAAATAACCATAAATGTACTTCTGGCTGAAGGAAAAGCACAAAACCCATCAGTGCATGGAGGTGTGAACCTTCAGCAACAAGGTCATTCCTAGTGACCCAATAAGGTGCTGTAGTCCTGAAAGCAGTGGAAATAGTGTGTGAGGCAGAAAGAAAACCCTGGGGAAAGCACAGTGGTGTAATTAACACAGGTAATTTTTTAGGAGCTCCTAATTCAGGTGGAAGATATGTGTGCTCTGGTTTATTCTTTTCCAGAAGAGTAATAATAAAGGTGAATATCAGTGATAGCTGCAGGGATGTGGGAGTGAAATGTGGTGTAAACAATGGGTAATAAGGAGCTTAGAAAACATTAGACAGGAAGTTTGTTTTATTGTAGCATCACTTGCCATGCAGCAGTGTTCCTTAGTGAAGTTATATGAGTGTATTCCAATGAGGAATTAATTTCCCTCAAACCTCTCTGTAGTAAACTGATGTTTGGTGTTCTGTGTCACTTATTTAGGGAAACAGTTCATCATGGCCTCAAATGGGTAATAAGGAGCTTAGAAAACATTAGACAGGAAGTTTGTTTTATTGTAGCATCACTTGCCATGCAGCAGTGTTCCTTAGTGAAGTTATATGAGTGTATTCCAATGAGGAATTAATTTCCCTCAAACCTCTCTGTAGTAAACTGATGTTTGGTGTTCTGTGTCACTTATTTAGGGAAACAGTTCATCATGGCCTCAAATCAAAATCAGTGTATTCCAACGAGGAATGAACTTCCCTCAGCTCTCTCTGTAGTAAACTGGTGTTTGGTGTTCTGTGTCACTTACTTAGGGAAACAGTTCATCATGGCCTCAAAAATACTTTTTTTTTTGAGGGAGATAGTACAGGGAGTAAATGTGCCTTGTACTCTTGGAGTATTTTGGTAATTGCCAAACACCTCTGAGATTCTGCTAAGACCCTTGTTTCAGTGATGTTTTTACTGTGGTTCAAGTGCTGCATTTGTTGCAGGTGGAACACGGGGGAGTTCTGATGATTCCTTGTGTTTGTGGCCTCTCAGGTGCCTTTGTCCTGCCTCGTTTCACGGGCCAGACTGCCAGCAGACTAAGCACAGTTTCCATGGAAATGGCTATGCCTGGTTTCGCCCCATCAGACCTTGCTTTGAAAGCTCACTCTCTCTGGAGTTCATTACTGTGGTTCCAGATGGGCTCTTACTATACAGTGGTCCTTTGGCCAACCCAGAACCTGGGAGCACAGAAAACTTCATTGCAATAGGTACTTCTGCAAAAGTCTGGGGGAAGATGGAATGTCTTTGAGAATGGGGTGTCTGTGAACAGGGTAATACTGAGACTGTGAATTTTGTCTTCTCATTTAACAAGATAATTTGGTTTCTGGTTTGAAAATATTTGGATATGCTTCCCAATAGACCTTTGTCCTTTGATGTCTGTTTTTGTGGCTGTGCCTCTAGCATTAGGTGCACTGCAGAGTTGTACAAGTGAAGGGGAACACAAACCATAAAATAATCTGCCTAGAAAAACTGTCATGCTGTAAAGGAATTTGGGTACTTTGAAGATAGGTATTACATGATTAATGCAGCCTTAGCTGTGTGTCATTCTTTAGTTGGGTGAGAAAAGAAATCCACTTACACTGCTTTCAGTCTTGGGGCAGTTTTGCACTTTTTCTTAGACAGGCAGTGACTGGATGGATGAATCCAGCCCCAACATGCCACTGCAGGGAGATTTACACACAGCTAGAACTCAATGCTTTATGCTGACACATGTTTAAAAGGTTATTATGTGTGAATTAATGTACAGGATGCACACTGTGGTTGGCATTTTGTATTTTCCTAATTAATTGGAAGGTAACGTGGCCAAATATTGTTCATCACTTACCTCTATTTTTGCCTTGCTTTGCAGTTACTTGTAGATTTGAGTGGAAGATGGGTGGGGGTAAAACCTGCATGTATTAATCATTTTGGAGCATTATAAAGCTGCAGATTGCTCATCAGGAGTTAGTTTGTGTTTTGACAGAGAAGTGATACAATCCAAAATTCAAAAATAAATACTGCATTACATGAGTGTTTCTGCATAGTAGAAGCCTAATTTGTGTGACTAGCAACAACCTTTAAATCAGTACAGTCACTAACTGCTCACATACCCAAACCTGAAAGATTCTTGTAGCTGTATTTAACCTCTTGTTTGTACTGTTAGAACTCTCCAGTGGTATTCCCATGCTGAAGATGAGCCATGGCTCAGGCTTTGTGGTGCTGCAGTTCCCAAGTCATCTGAATGTAGCAGACAAGAAGTGGCATCGACTAGAAGTCAGAACCAATGGTCAGGTCAGTTACTTGGTGTTTTTCCACATCAGGATCTTTGTATTTCCCATAGCATTTCCCTGGGCAGAAACAGGAGGGGAGAAAGGACAGACTGGGTAATTACATGTATTGTTCTGACTGTGCCTCTGGATTTGATGTGTAACAGAAATTTTGGGAAGACCACACTCCCAATTCCAAATCTGCCTATGTTGTAATTCATGTTCCACAGTTAGAGCAATCTTTTTGCCTTTTCTGAGCTTTGCAGCAGCACATGTGCAACATGCATAAAAGCTTAGTTGTAATCTGCATGTGCAGTGTATACATTTGGGCACTGAAATCTATCACCTCTGCACAAAAAGCAGGTGATTATTTGCAAGTGCACTGCAGGTTAAAGTGCATAAAGTACAGAGTTCAGTGCCTTGTTTTGCCAGATGTTTCCATTTTGGCTTTCCTGGTTATTGCAAGGTGGAAAGCAGATCAGGGAAAAAGATCCAGCCCTTTTTACCTGGTGGGAGGCAAGAAGCAAAAGATGCAGATTTGACCTCACTTGTCCATTGGGTCTGACAGAAATTTGCTGTGCTCTGGCGCAGGACGTTCGGTTCACGCTGGATCACTGCAGTGCAGCTCTGGTCTCGGAGATCGAAGGAGTTGGCAAGTGGTTGTCCACTGATGATCGTACAAATTGTGAAGTCTTTGGGTCTGTTCCACGACAAGCAAGGTACATCTCCAGAGATTCCCTGAAAGGCAACTGATCTCAGGCCTCTGAACACTTCACCTGTCAGACTGAAGCCCAGTTACTAATGACTAGGAGCATAAAAGCATTTCCTTGTCCTGAGGACCTGCTGGGCCAAGCCTGGGCCTGGAATTACATTCTATTTTTTTCCACTACAACCAAGAGCCAAGTGTTACAGGTGGGCAGAAATACTCAGCCTCCCAAACAGAGGGAAGGGAACAACTGCTGAGTATCAGTGACAGGTAGAGAGAGCAGTCAGAGGGTGTCAGCAGTGCCAGATGAACGTGAAAAGGGTGAGCACTGCACAGTAACACCTCAGCACTGCACGTGTCTAAGGCAAGGAGGATAGTTCTGCCCTGGCTGGCACTGCTGGGCCTTGGCTGCTCTCCTGGGTCCAGTTTGTGCCCCACAGGGCAGGATGGACATGCTGCAGCTCAGTGCAGTCCAGGCAGGAGCAGTGACTGTAATCAGCTTGTCTGGAGAGTAAGGCCTGTCAGGAATGAAGGAATTGAGGTCAGTTCACTGAAAGAAAACTCAGGAGAGATATGATAAGTCTCAGTGTATATAAAAGAATGGTACAAAGAAGACTTAGACAATCTCTTCTGTATGGGGCCTTAAGTTACAGTGAGGGATATTCAGATCATATTTTAAGGAAACCTTTGTACTAACAAAGATACTTGAGCTGTGGAATAGATGGTCCCAGCAAGCATTCTGATTAGCATTGGGATTAAGACCTGTTAGCAGCTGCAAGGAGCTCTCCTGGTCATGAAAGGAGAACACAAAGAGGAAAATACAAGAACAAATGAGCACAAAAAGACTTGAGTTGATAACTTAAGGAAAAAGAAACTATGAGGACTAAAATACTTGGACTTCTTTGGCTCAGAGAGATGACTGGGAGACAGTGCAGAGCCTGGATGGGTGTGCTATACCTTTTAGACCACAGGGACCCAACCTTTAGGCTTCTGAACTTTATATCATAGCAGAACAGTCCTTGTTGTAGCATCTCTACAGCATAGGATGGATGTGCACACACAGAGCACTTGAAGGAGACTGTTGTGCCTAGATGTCAGTGTCCCACAGAAACTTCCAGTAGACTTCACTGCCTTGGTTGAAAACTATTTGTTATTGCAAAGGGCTCACTGGCTGCTTTGGAGCAGGAGGCAGATAGAACAGTTGCATTCTGATTTTAGAAAGCCACTGCTATTTGGAAAAGCAGTGTAGTTGTTTAGCTGCCTTGTTCTATCATGCCTGTTTGCCTACTTTGATTATTTATGTGATTTTAAAGGTATTTGAGTGTGAACCATGTCCTACAGCTGGGTGGTGTCAAGGAGTCTCTGCCCTACTCCTACCCACAGCTGCTCCACAAACACTTCTCTGGCTGCTTACGCAATTTTGTATTGGATACTCAGGTAAGAGCAGTGTAACATTTTGCTTTAGCAAAGGAGCAAACTTCTGTACTAGTGTTTTTTTGAGATTTGGGTTATACCTGAAACTTCTGCTTCCATTAATCTGTTCAGTGGCCACATGTGGCAGCATAAAGTACGAGAAAATTCTGGATTTTTCTGCCATAATTAGAATAACTTCCTTGCAAAGTTGTTTCTCAGTCACAAGCAGATGTATTTACGAGGGAGGCACTGTGTGTTTGTTTATCCCCTGCTTCATGCAGCTGCTTTCCAAGCTTCTTTGTGCACTCAGGGAACTTCCAAATGGCAGCTGTATAATGGTGTATTTTTGCCATCTGTGTTGGGAAGTATTAGGAGATTTTTGCTTTCATAGTCAGTTGAGTTTATTCAAAGGCAAAATATGCTCTGGATAAAATCAGTTGAAGTCTGAATGTCAAAAAGCAAACTTAGCAGCTTAGGCAATGCAGATGAGGAACAGACTGAAGTGGTGCAGCTATTTCTGTTTGACGATGGAGGGGAAGTGTTTCTTCAATAACACTTTGGTGTCACACAATTTTCCCTTCAAGGTGTACGACCTTCAGTCTCCTGCAGAGTCCCTGAATAGCTTCCCTGGCTGCACACTCACAGATGGGAGCTGTGAGACCATGGGATCTTCTTCCTGTGGGATCCACGGGAGGTGCCTTGGAGACTGGGGCTCGTTCTCCTGCCACTGCCTGCCAGGCTACTACGGCTATCGCTGTGACAAAGGTGAGGCCTCTGCTCTGCTCTGCTACTGATGGGCTGGCACATCTCACAGTGCAGAAAACCTGCTCTCTGGGCAGGATTGGTTGCTGAGGAGGTTTCTGATGTTTGCATGGTGCAGAGCCTGTGACTGTTAACAATTTATTTTCTAATTCCCTTTGAGGAGTTGGGTCATTGCTTCAATCCTGAGGGTGTTCGTGCAGTGACTGTGTAATGGAGACTACATGACAAAAATCTTGTGAAAAAATTACTTGATTTTATCACATTTTTTATTTGCTTCTGTTCTGTTTACACTTTCAGAAATATCTAATAACTTAAGACTTGAATTTGAGTGTGCCAGTACCAATTTCTATGCAGAATTAGAACTGCACAACTGGGATTAGAAATCACTGCTCTGTTGGTGTCAGGGAGAGTCTCAGTTGGCTTATGGATCTGTGCTGTGGGAATAGTAGGATCTTTCCTTTAGCTTTCATGGAGCCAAAGTTTGCAGCAAAAAGACAGCTATAAAATAGCAGGTTGTGAAATTTGGCTGTGGTACTTCATACTTTGTCTGCAGTCTCTTGGTCAGAGCTGCTGCTTTCCTGCTGTCATCCCATGTGAGCTGTGTAAGGAGGAGCACTAGCAGGATATTTTAGGCAGGAGAACATCTCTCTACAGTGGAAGATGCAGTGGGAGAGTGACTGGGGAAACTGGATACAAAGGGGCATGTCCCAAAGACAAGCCATGCCTCATGGATCCCTGCTGTGCATTGCAGTTCTTTTTCACTTTCAGTGTTTGCTATGAAAATAATGGAAACAGCAATATTTCCCTCTCCTCACAAAATGGTTTAAAGGTTTCTCTCCTGCCTTTAGTTGCCAAAGAGTACACGTTTGAGGCAGGAAGCCACATCCGTTACCAGCTCCCGGTCAGCGTGTCTGCGCGCAGGACTCTGTTCCAGGCCATGGTCAGGACACGGCAGCCTGACAGTGTCATCACCAGCATGTTGTCTCGAAGCAAGGAGGAGCACATCACCCTGCAGGTGAGCAGGGTGTCTGAGAAGGTGATGGCATGAAGTGAGATCAGTGTCAGTGACAGCTCAGAGGAACGTCAGGTTAAGGGTTGAAAATAGAACACAAAACCTTACGCTAAGGGAAAAACTTTGGATTTTGTTTTATGGACACACACAGAGATCTGATCCTTCAGTTGAGGTATTGAGCACTCAGCTGTGGCATCCCACTGGGTTTCAGGGGAATTTGTTGCCAGTTGCAGTGGAGCACAGTCTCCACACAGAGCAGGGTGGATGGGCTGTGTGCCCTGGTGTGACGATCCCGAGTGCCTCACACTCTGCCAAGCAAGGAGCCTGGAGCAGTTGTAATGATGTCAGACTCCAAATGACAACCTTTTCACTTCATACACACCACTGAACGAGCCACCTCTTCAGCTAAGATTCTTTGAGCTGTCAGTGCAGCTGTGATACTCCAGATTCTCAGCCATTTGAAGAACCCCAGAAATGTGTGCAAGAGAGGTGCAGGGTCAAATTATTCTGAGTGAGTTGTATACTAGTACCAGTATTTAGGTTGTCCAGTTCAGTAGCACCTGAAGTATTTTTATATTACACCTATATGTGCAGCATAAACATACGCTAAATTTGAACAAATGCTCTAAGATTGAAGTTACAGGTCAATACCTAATGTCAGGCAATGACTTTTCTTCTCTTTCTTGCTTTTTGTTAATTATCCACAAGATTATTCAGGGACTTTTGGTGGTCTCGTACAACCTGGGTGATGGAGACTATTCCCTAAGCCTTCCCTCCTACCACATTGACAATGGTGAGTGGCATCATATCACACTGGAGAGAAATGAAAATGAATTTACTCTTCGCCTTTATGAAGGAGGTGGGAAGAGGGAGATCCTGAAAGCAGCAGGAACATACAAGGAGATTGTGATTGACCCCAGCAGCTTGGTCCTTGGAAACACCTACCCATTCAACCAAAACAGAAGTTTTCAAGGTAAGAATTCTTGATCTCCCTGTTCAGGATATGGACCTGTAAAAATGAAGTTTACGTGGGCATATTGCAGGAAGCTTTCTCATTTATGCAGAGTCCAAAGCAGATTTCTCACCTGACACACTGCACCAGGGACAAATAAGCTGTTCTGACTAGGAAAAGGTACAGCAGGGAACTGCCTGCACATCCAGTTGGCTACTGGACTTGGAACAAAGATGGTCACTTCTTCACGTGACTGTGGTGTTTGTACCTGGAGATCCACAAGCTGCTCCCAGCTGGACTGTGGGTGCTCCTTGCATTAGATGCACAGAGGTGGCTCAGTGAATGGTTCTGACCAGTCTGTTGGGCAGCTCTTTGCCTGCCAAATCCACCTGTCCCTCTGCTGGAAGGAGGATTGCTGTGTTATGCATGCATTGCATAGCACACCCCAGACTCTGGTTTATTCCCTGTGGATTTTACACTCAGTCAAAGCATTGATACATCATTCTTGCTGCATGGCTTTCAAAGCCTCTCTTTGTGCCTTGCCCCAGGATGTATGAAGGATGTCAGATTTAACAACTACAGAATCCCTCTGGACACCCACGGGAAGGAGCTGGTGTCAGTGTTGAGTGCCCAGGGTGTCAAGGAGGGCTGTTCTTCGGAGGCCTGTCGGAGCAACCCCTGCCACCAGGAGTTTGTTTGCATTGATTTGTGGATGATGCACGAGTGCAGGTAACTGATGGAAACGGGAGCACACAACCCTTGGACTGAGGTGGGAGGGATGCTGAGGTGTGCAGCTTGAAGGCTGCCCCTGGCAATCTCATCAAATCCATGGAACTGCACTGGGCTGGACACCTGCACAGGCAGCAGGTTACCCTGGCCTTACGAGCACTGCCCTCAGCTGATGTAAATCAGTCTGGAGCCAGTGCTTCTGTAGCAATTTCATCTGCCTAATTGGAAATGTTTAAAGACTAGCAGCAAACCCAGAATGTTTGTAAGCCCTGGGAGCCAGGATGAGAGTCATGTCAGCTGGAGTGGAGCGGAGCTAGCCTGGCTGTCACGTGAAGCTCATGCTGTGCAGTGTTGATGTGCTTTCTCTTGTCTCAGGCTGTCACCTCTGTTCCCTTCCCTCCCCTCAGGCTGCAGCATGAGGCTCAGAGTCCTTGTGTGTGGCTGGGGCTGGGGTTAGAGCAGCACTGATTCGAGTTAGCTGTGCTCTGCAAACGTGCACTGTGAGCACTTCTGACTGTCGACACAAATAGAGTGTGCTAACTTTGGAAGCACAGAGCACATAGCATGGCTTGGCCTAGCTGGAACTGCTGACCCTAATCGAGCTGTTTTCCACAAGGATAACCTTGCAGAAGCCAGTGGAACTGCCTGAGTTCTGAAAGCCACAGACGTAAGGGTTTGTAGTTGTGGAGCTCATTGTTGTTGGCTGCTTCAGGAAAAAACACAGTCCTGTAATGATTTCAAGTACTTCTAGTAGCTACTTCAGAAACTGTACGCAGAGTGTCATCAAAAACTGTTTGATGTTGTTCAAGACCAGACTGTTGCTCAGCTGTTTGATGGTGTTCAATCCAGGCTGGATGAGGCTTGTGCAACCTGATCTAGTGAGGAGATGTCCCTGCCCAGGGCAGAGGTTGGGACTGGATGGTGTGTAATGTCCATTCCAACCCTTAAATTCTGTGATTCTATGATTCTGTTTTAAAATCTGGAAGGGTAATGGTTTCATTTTTCCTTCTCTCCCCAGCTGCCCCCCGGGGCACATGGAGCTGGAGAACGGCACGGGCAGGCAGTGCGTGTACACGGCGTGCGCGGCGCGGCCCTGCCACTACGGCACCTGCACCGCCCAGTCCCCCACCAGCTTCCAGTGCCACTGCCCCGACGGCTACGCCGGGCGCCACTGCGAGGTCACGCTGGCCATCTTCCACAAGGACACAGGCCTCAGCTTCAGCTCCCTCTTCGCCATCTGCGTGTGCTTCCTGGCGCTCCTAGGTAGTTATGGCAACTACGTCTTGTATTACCTTTGGTGAACTCGTGTGTCCATCCCATCCTGAGCAGTCATCATCTCATCCTCCTGCTGACAAACTCTTTCCTTGACTCTGCCTTCATTTCTTTGCCATGATCCAGGCTCCATCAGTAGCTGATGTTTCATCCCTGTGTGCATCTGTCACTGAGGGAATCAACGTTTGTGAGCTGTGGAAAGTCTCTGCAGTTTTACTCTCTGCACGTTTTCACTTCATTGCTGAGGAACTGTACAGATGCATAATTGGGAGCAAATGCAATTGAACAGCAAGAGTGGAAGTGCTACCAGATAAGCATAGTTTAAAATACTGCTGGGCGTGATTTTTCAGTCTAGGAGAAACACTGTCTAATGGGAATACACTGGGTCAGGCAGGAGCAGATTTGGTGTCTTACCAGTTGTGTCCCAGCTCCTAACAGCTGCTTCTGGCTTCCCCAGCCATTCCCAGGCTTAGGCATGGGATCTCAAGAAGAGGGAAACCAAAGAAGGATCTCACTAGTGAGGAAAGATCCTGTCTTGGAGTCTTGTTTATTCAAATGTTATGGAAGTTTGCCTGAGTAAGGACATAGGACTTTTCTCACAGCTTTGACAGTGTTAGTGCAGTTTCATTCAGAAGTTGTAGTAAGAGTGTGTAAAAGTATCATGGACTCTTGAATCCATCTATGTAGCTGCCTGAAATACCATCACTTTTCCCCAACTCTGCTAGATACTATGTTTGCCATGCAAATATGAGCAGCAAATTCGTGGGAAGCTAAGTGGTATCACAGCTTTTGGAATCCCAAATAGCTGATGTTGATACTAGATCATTGTTACAGGAGTGCAGGGCAGGGCACCTCTCCACCCCAGTTTCAGTCCCAAGAGCATTTGGATGCTGCTCCACAGAACTGTCATGTAGATACTCTGTAAGAGTTTCTAGTTTCTCTGATTCACTGCACTGTTAATTTAAGGTATTCAATACTTTGAGGTCTTACTATGAGCTTTTATCAGCTTTCATAGAGTTACTAGCAGTGATACACAAGTTTCCACTTGTAGAATGTGCAGTACCTGATGTTGAAGCTTGTCAGTGTGTAAAATGCAACTCAGCATTTCAGAAAAGTGTTTAACTTCATGTGCCTGATTTTTTTTCCTAGTAAAACATATACAACTAATTTCCTCTTTGTCTTGTGTCTTCTGTGCTTCATTTCTGTCAACCTGTTGTTACTTCAGTGCTCCCTGTCTGTGTATGCACTTCCTGTGACACATTTTACCTCCACACAGGGCAGAGACAGGTCACAGACACCACTTAAGTCATTCACTTCTCTAACAACTTCAAAGTTGTACTTTAAAGGATGTTGCAAAACGCTCTTTAAAGGCTTTTCTTCTGTGTTTGATGTGCACATGTAACTGCACTGCAGAGCACAAGCCCCACTCACTTTGGGAAGCACACACTGCAGCTGTGCTGGGCACCAGGGTTTGCTGGGGTCTGCATGATGCTCTGCTCCTGTGTTCACACAGCTCTGCTCAGTGCTGGGTTCCTGTGGGCTCACTGGAAGACACGCAAGGGTCTGCACGGAGGTGTCTACCATGGATCTGTGCATCAGGAGGACCTGGAGGACATCAGGGAAAACATCCTCAACTACAACGAAGAAGGGGGTGGGGAGCAAGATGAAGTAAGGATCACTGTTGAGTTACAATTAAGAGGGCCCTGGTGGCTCACCATGCCAAGGGAAATATATTTTATGCTTTGTCTCAGCCTTTGTTCTGCTGATTCAGTGCTGCAGATGAATTATTTGCAAGGTCTGTACACCAGGGCCGTGTTTGCTAAGCAGAGATAAGTGCCTATCCATTTTTAATTGGTCTTAAAGTGAGTGATCCTGTGTGTGCATATGTGAAGAAGTCTGGAGTGAGTTCAGCAGCAGGGAACAGACAGCTGGTGGGTTTGGCTTCACAGCTCAGGAGACACTGAGGTTCTTGGGTCGTTACTGCTGCAGCTTCCAAGAGCCTGGTGTGACCTGTTCCTCGTGCCAGGCTCTCTGGAGACTCTTCCTGGCAGCAGGGATTAACACCTGACTCCTTAGGAAGGGGAGGTGCTACATTTGCTCCTCCTAAGCCCTGAAGCACATAGAGGTTGTTGAAGAACCTTCCTACATTTTTCTGTTTTGGAGATAAACACACCAGTGAACACAAGCTATGTATATCCTTAGGGCAGAGCAGGTACCAAACCAGGTGTCAATAACATTTCTGCCAGCTGTGTAAGGTTTTCTGCATGCCACTTGAAGATTATTTACTGACCCACAGATGTTTGCTATGCTTAAAAAAGGTCAGAAATTTCATTGCTACCTTTGAAACTGTTCTGTTAATGGACTCAAGGGGTGCTATGACCTTGCAGAGGTAATAATATAGCCATGGCACCAGTTCGGTGGGTCAAAAAAAAGCCAGTGGTTAAAAAAATATATTAAATTTCACCTGTCCCAAAATTCCAAATATATTTTAAGAAATTTTAGTTACAAAATCTAGAGGGGGTTTTACTAGGCCACCTGAGAAAATATTCTTACTTGTATCCTCATTTTCTTGGTGAATTAGTAGGAAGGGAATAAACACAGAGACATTTTCCATGTGGGAACACAGACAACTGTATGCATAAATCCTGTTTTCCTTAATCAGATTAACTTCCTCTGCAGTATTTTGCAATTTTACACCCAGAAGGTCTCTCTGAGGAAATCCACAGTTACTGTGTGACATCTTTAATTACTTCTGGGGAGTTCTTAAAATACACTCCTTATTTTAAGCAGTGGAATCAAATTAGTGGCTTGATGATCTTCATCTGAGGCTGTTCCTCTGTCTTGAGGAAATAGTGCTTGGAGTGAAGCCTCTCTGTGTTCTGTATACTCTTCCTAAACTATTCAGATTTAGCCATTGTTAGGATTGCAGCTAAAACTGTCCAGTGCCCTTCTGAGTACCTCATTGTGTGCCTGGATTGAAAAACCCAACCAACCAACCCCCCAGATACCCTGAACTGCACCACCTTAATTGTGTTCTAATGTTGCCTTCACAAAAGGATCATGGGGGCACTTGGACAAGAGTTTTGTTCCTGCAATGTTCACAGAGGGTGTAGGGCTGGGGGAGCCAGAGGCTTTTCCCAAGGACTTTCTGCATCTGAAATAAAACTGTCCCCCAGAGAAAGTAGTTCATAAAAATTGCAGGAGGTCAGTGCACTGTTGAGTACACTGAGCTGAACACCAAAGGCTGTTAAACACCAGCTGTAGGCCCAGAGGCAAGGGCTGAGTTGGGTTTGTGGACAGCATAACTAGCCATTATTACAGAGACTGCTAAGATTTTACCAGAAATCACAGTAGATGTTTGACCTACTCGTGCAGAAAGATTGCTTTAACGTGCTGTTTGTGAACATCCTTTCTCACCTCTCCTGCCAGACTTGGTGTCAGTGTTTAACAACAAGATACTCAGATCTGAACTTCAGAACCAAATCTGGGGCATTTCTGTCATTTTATTTAGCTCCTGATACGAAATCAGCCTTGATTTTGAGCCTGGCCATAGCAGTGCAGAGTGCACAGCTGCTCCCCTGTGTTCTCACCGGCTCAGTTTGGGTGTCCCTAGGTGTGTTGCTGGTGGCAGAGTCAGTCACACTCCCAATCCTCCAGGTGCCCACGCAGAACACGCTGCCCGGGGAGTGTTCCTTCTGGATTGCCTCCAGAGCATGAGCTTTGGGGGCTGCAGGGAGTATTAATGTGATGTGACTGGTTTCTCACTCCAGGATGCCTACAACATGGCCGAGCTGCAGGTGTCTATCCAAGCCAGCTCAGCCTATTCCCTCTGCCAGAGGACGGAGAGCCCAGCACGGCGGAACGGTCTCGTCAGCGCGTGGGGACACCCCAGGGCAGCAGTGACTGCAGGAGCTGCTTTGCCTAGGGCAGGTTTTGGTGGGTACCTGGCAGGGGTGGTGAGAGATGCTGACCAGCAGGCCCAGGCCGTGCCCCAGGACTCGCTGCAGGTGTTCTGCACGGAGGGAGGAGGCTCCACCGCTGGCAGCCTGAGCTCCCTGAGCTCCCCTGGGCTGGAGGAAGGCACAGTGTATGATGACATCAAAGAGTGGGGACCAAAGTTTGAGAAACTGAGTGAACTGTACTCGCAGAGGGATGCAGGAGACCTGTAGATCACCAAGCCTGCTGGAAGCAAGGGTGAAGCACGTTTTTTATGGTCCTGCTATGTACTACACCCCTCTCTTTAACACCACCCCCTCACCCTCCTTTTTTTCCATCAGATTCCCACTAAGGAGCCACACTTGGCAGCTCATTGAAAAATGAGTAGGAGCTAATCTTGGGACATCCTGGACATTCAGGTTTTGGGGTATAAACTTACTTGCAAGAATAAAGGGAGAAGTTGGAGTACTTTGTCATTCACATGGGGGTGGAATATTACACTCTAAATTATCAGTCCCTTTTTCAGACCATTTCATGTCCTGCTACTGTGCTGCATTTTTCTTACATGTGACAATATTTGAAGAGGGGAAGGTGCCACAAAACGAACTGTGATTACTTTTAACCTGAGACCACTTGTACAGACAGGGCAGCAAATCCACAATCTTGGGCTCTGCTGGTTCTTTATATATTATATGTAAATGATATCTACTATAATGTGTAAATATATAGGATATGTATATTATATATTATCAGCTGATAATATGAATATATCCTAGATGCTAACAATTTGTTTCATTAAAACGGAGTATGAGACAATGTATTGTACAAGACATTCCAACTGCTTTGCTCACAGTTGCATCATTTTCCTGGCTTGTTCTGCTGCCTGGCTGGAGACCCAGAGCTGGGTGAATGCTGCAGCTCAGCTTCATCTGCACAGTACCCAGATGGGAAATGTTCACACAGCACCTTTTTCTCACGGGCACTTGTGCCACACTCTGGAAAACTTTGAGCTCACTACTAACCACTGACAGCTTCTCCAGAGGAAAAGTCCCATTTTACCCATGCCCAATAGTTCCAATTCACAGACTGTACAGTCTGTGATTTATAATTTTACTGACACGTTTACCTGTGAGGACACCTGGGCTGAAACATCCTGCAGTGTTCACAAATCCAGTGTGCCAGCCCCTGTATTTCCTGATCTCAGCAGTCACAAACAGGATATGGAAAATTAAGTAAATATATATTATGCACAAAACTCTGTTCCTTCCCCAACCAGCAGTAATTTTGTCTTCATACCTTGTGTTCTGTTGTTTTGGCTGGTTTCAATTTAATTTAGCTTGTAAGCTCCTTGGGGCAAAGACTGACTTTATCTGCCTGTGACATGTTGTGCCTCTCTACAGCACCATGTAAATAATAAACCAGCCTTCTCTACAGGGTCTCTCTGCCTTGTTTGTATTTAAGGTCACTTAAAGTGTGGAATCTGTTGAATTATTTCTCTCTCAGCTTTGATCAGCTGCTTCCACAGACATGACCACGAGCTGAGGTAGGACTCAAGCTGTACTTACACACTCAAAGGACACATCACCATCTCAGTCTTGCCAAGGGGGCACAGACCAGCCCTGCCCTCAGGAGATGTGATGGTTGTGGTCCCAGTTGTCAAACTGCAGCCCTGAGGTGCTGAACTGGTCACTGGGAGAGAGGGGAAGAAGCCTGAGCACAGCTCTAGTGCCTGGGGGCCCCATGGGCAGGGTCCCTGCAGAGCTGCTGAGGTTTGGATTCTCCTGCTGCTGTTCCCAAGTGCTGCTGCTATGGTCCTAGTCTGTAACAGACACTAACACCCCCAAACTGCCTCTGTAGTCACAGTCAGTCAGACCCTTTACAGAATACACAGCATAAAACAAAAAGGCAGGAAACATTTTCAAACTGCTCTAGGAACTTGTGTTGATACAATCTCAGTAATAGGACACACTCATTTGCAGCTGTCATGCCCTATTAAAGCCTACTCTTCCTCTTCCCAGAGATTAGTAATTAGTTCACTTAATTTATCTGGTTTAATTTGCATGCTGCTCTTTTAATTACTGTGCAATTGCTGAAATCATATCCTCACTTGTTCTGCATTTACACAGACACATGCAAATGATTCAGTGCCTCTGCAAAAAGGCTTATCCAGCACATCCCTGCTCAGGACAGAACAGCTGGCTTTTCAGGGAAAGCTCTGCCACAGGTCAGGGGGAAGAAAAAAAAAAGGAATAAAAACATCATTGGGTCCCTAGGTAGTAGGATTTTCAGTAATCTGGTACTTGTATTAATCTTCTTCCATGTTCTTTACAGACTTTAAACATGTAGTAAGAACATTTTATTTAGTATAAAATATTTGTAAAGGTCTGAAATTTAAATAATCATGTGGATATTAGTATTTAATCCGTCTGCCTGACAACTACATTAATCTTTGTGGCTTTCCCCTGTGAAAATAACATTCCAAGTACAGGACAGAGAGACAAGCTGTGTGAAAGCTGATTGTCCTTAGGTCTGACCTACTGACCAGCAGGTTTAGAGGGGAAAACGTGGCTGTGAAGGAGCAGGATTGGGTGAGCAGAAAAAAGTTGAGTATTTCCTTAATTGCAGAAATGCTAAAGCCCAGGGCCATTTCCTGGGGATTTCAATGAGGAGGTTTTGAGAATTTTTTCCAGAGAGAGTGCTCAGGCATTGGAATGTGCTGCCCAGGGAGGTGGTGGATTCCCCATCCCTGGAGGTTTTCAAGCTGAGACTGGATGTGGCACTTAGTGCCATGGGCTAGTGACCACGGGAGGGGTGGACTTGATTATCTTTGAGGTCTCTTCCAACCAGGGTGATTCTATGATTCTATGATTCGTGCTGAAAAATATTTTGCTTTCTTCCACATGGACTGAAACAAAGCTGATTCCCTAACTGGGCCTCTCTCAATCCATCCCAATACAAAAACAAGCCTAAGAGTGATTTTCAAATTCCACCATTTATTTAGTATACAATAGCCATTACATCTCTTTACAACATATTATAAAAGAGCTATGTTAGACCTCACCAGCAGAACACTGAAAAGAAATGATAAAACACTTAATGCATCTCAAAGGCTTTTCTCCCTTATAAAAACATTCCAATTCCTGCTCTAGAGTTTGCTCTCTGCACTCCAAGAAAGTGATTCGTGCCACAGTCTCACAGGTAAGGTGTCCTCAGGAGGACCTTGGCTGGGATCATACACCAGGTGTGCCAGGACCGTGGCACCCAGGAACAAATGCAGTCATTTTAACAGAAATCCCACATTTAACTCAGTGACTGCAGATCACAGGAAGATGTGGTTAGTGGCTAATTAGCAATTAGCCCTGCACTCCAAGAAAGTGATTCGTGCCACAGTCTCACAGGTAAGGTGTCCTCAGGAGGACCTTGGCTGGGATCATACACCAGGTGTGCCAGGACCGTGGCACCCAGGAACAAATGCAGTCATTTTAACAGAAATCCCACATTTAACTCAGTGACTGCAGATCACAGGAAGATGTGGTTAGTGGCTAATTAGCAATTAGCCCAGCAGTGCCCTCCCAGCAGGCTCTGGGAGCAGAGACACAGCCTTTCCACCTCAGCCTGAGCCTCCTGCAGCCCTCCCTCCTCCTGGCCAGGGAGGCTGTGGGTCTCCTCATGCTGCTGTCCCTGAGCTGGTGAGTGCCTCTGTTCTTGGTGTGCTCTGCTTTTGGGGGTTGGTGTCTGAGTGCTGCAGCCCCTGGAACACACCTGCAGCACTGCCCCTCTCTGAGGACACATCTGCCTGTTGAAAACAACCTGCACTGGGTGAATTTCACCTCTGGCAAGGTTAGAGGCTGTTTCTGAAACAAGTCCCTTTAAAACCAGCTGCTGTTACAGTCACTGGGCCTGGGAGTCTCCCACCTCCCTCAGGAAAGTTACTGCACCTCCTCAGGGAGTTCCAATAGCACCTCAGCACAGGACAGCAGAGCCCAGACAAACTCTGCCTTTCCTGAGCCTTTTTTCCCATTACTGAAGGCACTCATCGAGGAATTCACTGACCCAGGCTCACAGCAGGAACAACCATGTGTCGTGATAGGCCTAATTAGAGATTTAATACTGATTACAATGCTTTATTATGGTATTCTGGCTAGGAATCACTCAGGAGCTTCAGCTGAGGGTGTACCCACTCCTCTCCTGTCAGTGTGTGGTGTCACTGACTGCAGCACTCCCCTTTGTGCCAGCCACAACTGCAGAAAGATGGTCACCTTGTTTAATGAGTATTTGCTGAATATAAAACTGTCTGAGCATGTGACATAACTATCCCATCTCCTGGGTGATTTACCTCAGTACTGCTGAAAAGAGAACACACTTAAATCATCTGGGATCAGAGCACAGCTCAGTTGTGAAAGCTAATCTCGTTACACGTCTTGATTAAATTAAATGTGGAGTTTGCTGTCAGTAGCACTTTTAAGTTTCCCATCATTAGAAATTAATTGCAGTGGTAATTACTATAACTGAGTTATTTGCACAGGCCACAAACACTCTTAGAGGTGTTCAAATGTTAATTCAACCTGAGCCTAGAGGCACTTGATGACTAAAGTTCTGTTCTTCATAAGAAACAAGTGATCCTGGTGGATGTGTAATTAAAGCTGGAGAGTACTGTTAGGCATCCAGATTTAATCTGTAACTCAGCCTAAAACCAAAGCAGTGCTAAAACACAACGAAAGCCACGTGGTACCTCCACAGCATCTGGAAATTCCATACAGTTCACAAAGTTCTGGCTGTGAAAAGACACAAATGGCAAAGTTCTCAGGACTGAGGCCTGGCTTCACTTCGTCCTCCAAGTAATTAAAAAACAATGGTAGTCTCTGTCTCAGGATGAAGAGCAAGGACACACTGATTTAGTGCTAAAATCTATAGCTTTGTGCCTGAAATAACACAAAGCAAAGCTCTAGGATCTGAATGTATTTTAAATACCCAAGTTTCCTGCTG